GTATATTATGATTTGCGCAGGTGCAATTCTTGCGATCATAAAAATATATCATAACATTATGGGTTGAATAAAACGGCCACGGAGAGGTGTGCACAGTGGGTTGAAGCCACAAGCGTATTGCCGCGTCGGAGAATAGGGTGGACTGACGTGTTGCAACAAGGTGAACGAAAGATAAAGGGGTGAGAATTTAGCGTTGGCGGTGAGGAGACTATTCTGACGTTGGGGGAAGGCTCGGCCCCGCGATCGATCAAGCTTGGGGTTGATTTCAGGATAGAGTGGTGGATGAACYTAGTGATACCAATAACTCAATAACAGCGACCTGTTATATTGGATTGGTAAACATTCCATTAGGTAATATTAGAAGGATACATGAYGGTGACATGAAGACATATTTTTACAGGAAAAATAAAACTTTTAAAACATCTCTATAAAGTTTAATAAAAATCTCACACTAATAAAGTATTTATAATTAATAACAAATATACAAATATTGTAGACGCAATTGTTTATATATTAGTTTTCTATTTTAAATGTACGTGATTATTTATTTAAATATATTATATGTATTTTAAATGTATATTACTGCTTGGCGATTATTAGAAATTGGAAATTAACACAGCATGTATATATATGGACAAGAAACTATTGATAGGCTATTTAGTTTTTTTTTTTTTGTACATTCGTTAGCGATCGAAAGTTTTTTATTAGTTAAAATATTATATAACAACATTTTCGTTTGTTTTACACGCCTGCGCAACCATCAGCCCGATCAATACAGCAATTCCATCGTTACCATAGTCACAGACAATTTCCTCTTACTTAAACCATGTTCTGACTTATGGAAGGAGCAGGGTAGGCTAGCTGTTATCCCGGGTAAACTTGAAGCTCACTCGGAATGAAATACGCCAGTATTATAATATTATGTGATAAAAATATAAAATCGACTTTTACGGGTTATAGATACGAATGACAAATTCTATGAACGAAAAAATGATTGATATATATTTTCGCAGTATGTCTACTTTACATAATATACGATATAAGTCCAACCATAAAGCTTAAATAAGGCAAATAAGGCTTTCTTTATCAATATACTTTCAACTTTGTACAAGTAAAATGTTTATTGTATAATATAAATTATGATTATTACAAATTATTATGTAATGCTTGTCATATTATGTATGTAATATGTATAAATATTAAACATGTGTCCCACATTAACTAAATACGTGGTATATTCGGTAATACCTATTATATTATTACACTATCGCAAGTAGTGACGACCTACGCAGTTGGGTGAAGAGGTCCTTCCCCACCCCCACTCAAGTATATTTTTTATGTTTTATGTAAGTTTAAAGTATAAGTAGGTATTATATCATTGTCTTTTAAAATACTATAATAACAAATTTAGTGTGATCCGAAATTTATTAAAAAAAAGTCAAAAAGTTGTTTAAAACTAAAAATCTGCACAAAAATATTAAATGAGCTATTTAGCTAGTGCTTATCGCTGTAATACAAATCGTATTATGACAACTTTGATCTGGTTAATCGTTTCGATACTTTGATTATTGAAATTATTGATGATTACTTGAAAAATAAAATATAGCCATCAGAGTATATACACAGCAAAATTATTTAATATTTATGTATTTAATGCATGTGAGATAGGATTTTCTAATTATTATAGAACACATATAAAAATAGCAGAGTCAGCTATACATTTGTTTTATGCACCAGAGACTCTAAATATAAAATTAGATTACGGTATTTCTTGCACATTTAAAGTATTTTAGGTTTTTAGTGCTATTTTTCATGTTTTGTAGCTTTTTTTGTTGATAATTCGCAAAATATAACGCAGTATTTTGTATTTTCAGGAATCTATTTTATATTACGAGTATATGCTATGAAAATATAAAAAGTTATTCGTATATTTTAATTATATTTCATTTGAATCTATAGGAAAAATAGTAAATACCCAAATTGTTGTTTATATTACAATTATTTTAAAGTAGTTCGGGGAATTTATCTATCAAACTGTAATTTATAATTCCTTATCAGTTTTTCACTTATATATTTTATCCCAGAATATTCAGTTGTACATTTGTACTTTTTTTTTGCTATTTTCCAGGTCTTCAGGGAATATTATAGCGCTTATTTTAAAATTTGTAAGTTCATATTAAAGTACATATGTATTTCAGTTATTTTTAGTGCTTAAAATACAAGCCCTGATTATTTAGAACAATCGTTCAGTAAAAATCATCATTCGACGTCATTGAGATTCAAGGTATTATTGAATACTGATCATTTTTAAGGAGATTAATATAGGCAATTTTAAGGCAATTTGTATAGTAGATATTGTGTGCATGTGGCATGTACGTGGGAGTTTATTATGTTGCATTAAATAATCATTGATAACCATTCGATTAGAAAATAGACACTTTTTCACACACGAGTCACCATCACACTGTCACGCGTAAAACTATTACCTATTGTAAATGTTAAAATATTAACGTCTTTGACAATATTGTGTTAAGTAGGTAATTATTTTTTTTTTTTTAGATAGTAGTACTATATAAATAAGTAATAAGCAACAACATGAACATAATATGATGAAGGAAGTCATGCAGTGAAGAAACCCTTCACTGACCTAATAGTCAACCGATAATATTAACAAAACTTAATCTAAGTTCGATTTGAATTTTACTTTAAAAATATTTTTTATTAGTATTATTCAATGTGTTGAGTTAATTAGTTTTTATTATTAAAATACCTGTTAAAATTCTAATTTTATAGGGATTAGGTAATAGTTCAAATTTAAAAGTATCAAAGTTGTTTTCAATTAAACTCCGTAACGAATTTCAAATATGGTTTCATAAATTATACTGAGTAAAATAAGTACAATTTACATAAAATAGATATTGTAACAATTTAGTTAGATAAAAACTCAAATACTATGAAAAAAAAAGTTATACATGATTTAAAACACCAAGATATATCTATTTTCGTCTATACTAGGTACATTTTTAATAACTATTTACRAAATATTTGTCATATATATCATATCAACGTAAAGCCATATTCTCTTTTCATATTATTAAATTATATTATTAATTCATAAAAGTTAGGGGATGATGTGAATTACCAAACCAATAGGATCTTAAATAGTTTGGGATAAAATAACTGAGATCGAATCTAATCTTAAATAAAGCTCGTAAAATAAAACGACCTRCCAATATTAATAGTATTTGAAAATTTAATTTATTAGATCACTAGTCACGTGTCTCTTGCAGTTTTAATTCTTCTTAGATTTTAAAACCAGCAAAGAAACTCCCGATTCATTTGTCGGTTCCGTAGTTAATCTTAGTATTCCACCTGCTATTTTCATAAATTATGAAATCCTTGATGAAAACACATAACAGTTTTTATTTTCAAAAGTTACATAATATTTTATTATTTAAACATAATTTTTTTTAATATTACYATTTATTCAAGCAACTCGTTTTAGACATTTCAGAACAATCAATAAACACAATAATGTTGGAATAAATTATAACACAAAACGTACGTAGGTACACAAAATCATGAAAACATTGAAAACAGAAAGTGGATTATTTTCGTTTGAATCCATAATTTAATAACACTTTACATAAATGTTATTATCAGATTAAAAACATATGGTCGATTTTATACAATTAGAGACTAGAATTTTGAGTAGGATTTGACTACTATTATAAATTATAGAACTGATCAATTTTTTATTTATTAAATTTTAAGTAGTATTTACATACAACTGTAAAATGTTATGCTAAATTCTAATATTTGTGGACTATAAAAACTCAAATCTTAAAAACTAAGTGTTATTATAGCATTAAAAATATTCTAAATTATATAATACATAWTGATGTATTATGTATTGTTATATCTTCATTTATTTTTGTGCATAGTTTTAACGTATTTAGTATGTAACTATGGAATACGTACATAAAGCATGTAATATAATTTAATTTCAAAATCAACAAAACCTATAATACCACCTAATAGATAAATAACAGTAATGCATTCATGATGAACAAAATGCATACCTACTTGATAGTAATAACTGTTTTTGCCTGAGCTAAGAGAAACCARGAATATTAATTTGCACTAAACGTGTCTAAATATATTATAAAGTTATTGTAAAAACACTTATCATGACTTGAGACTTGAGTATCCATTATTTTTAGTATTATATTTTTGGTTCACATCAAAATGTATAGTAAAATACTTACTTACAAGTAACATATTATAGCTACCTAGTGCTCTTAATTTAATAAATTAATCATACTATTATAAGCTGTACTAAGATAAATTAAAATGTACTTATATTAAGAATAATTGTTATAAATTTAATGCAGATTTTTAAAAGGTGAAAGAACACCAAATCAACTTAATATAAGAAAGGATGATATTTAAAAAAAAGTGTATATTCTCATATTATATATTGTTCGAGTAGTGTAAATTAGAGTTTTTTTTYMATTTTAATGTTTTATTTWAAAAAAAATCAAATTTGTAGGTACCTACTTTATGTTTATATGTATTTATGTAGGTACTTTGTAAAAAAAWWTTTGGGGTAATTTCAGCTTTAAARTWGCTGATTTATGTATTATTTTTCGAACTATATCTAGAAATTTTTTTGTAACACCTACCTACATATATTAATAATTATTATTTATTTTTGTAWTATTACACGTGTGTGATATTTGGTTGCTATAGGATAAGTTTTATTTTCATTGAGTTATGTTTTATTTCTTATATTATTATTGATATAATCCGGATAATAAACTAAAAGTATYCCTACGTTTTATAACTTTTTAACAAATTGATTAACATTGTATCTATTTATTTTAATTAAGTTCTTATAGTAATTAGCAATTTAAAAATAGGAGTCAATTGATAGTGAGTCTTATACATTAATACAAATATGAAATCACTTTTATCGCCTTATTGGTTCTTTTTTAGAGTCTTGGTAAAGCTACAACATTTGGACTAGGTATCACACTTATTTTTATGATTAATTAATTAAATTTATTCGTGGGCGAATTGATAATTGTTTTACTTAAAATTATAATATGTATGTAATGGTATGTAATAATTATTATAAGGGTAGCAAACACACGTTCAAAAAAAAAATCAATTCGATTTAATTTGATCTTTTCACCTTAACAAWAGATGACTGTTTAATCCATGCGTAATATTTCGATATGCTAAAAAATATTATATGAGAAACTGGACACCGTTCATGACGATGTTCCACAACTCAGTAAGAGGTATGTGTGCTCTGTCAATCTTGCGCTGTATTTCCCGTACAATTTGAGCAGACGTCTTAGCTGTCTTGGGGAATTTAAATCTCTCGCAAATCCGTTTGGAGCCTAGATACAATGGCACGTCACTATAACGCACCAATCTTGGACTAATCGCATTCGTGTGCTCAGCCAAGTACAATATCTCCGACAGGCGGATGTTATTGATCTGCAACTCCACAGTGCTCGAGTGCAGCATCAAGTCATTGGTGCACCGATTGCCCGGCGTCAATCTCAGTTCGTGGTACTCGTGGCTCTCGGACACGGTCAACGTCCAGTTGGCCATTGAATCGCCGCCGCCAATGTCCATGTCTGGCGATAGGCGGGTGTACTCGCAGCCCAGTTCTTCTAAGACCTCGGACAAAACCCTCTTCGTGCCCTCGTGGCTGGACACAAACTTGAACTCGTCCAGCTCTTCGCCGTCAATTTCCACGGTGGGAATCGCATACAACATGACGCAGTCGCGGTCGGACGACGACCGTCGGTTCAAAAACTTGTACACGCTGTTGTCACCTATTCGTTTTTGTATCGCCTCAGCAAGCGCGTCCATGGACACGTTCTCCAACTTTACGTACGGGGCGTGCGCGGGGTCTTCAGATTCAGTGAATTTCATAATCTGATGAGTTAACACGCCATTTGATTCCAGTTCGTGTTGTTGCAACACAAACGCAGCGTAAATTGTAGCAGTCATTTTTAAATTTTTTTTTATTTACTTCACACGATAAATATTCACTTAATTTTATGATGTAACGCGATTCCCAGGTAGTTGTTTTGCTTTAATTATGATTCAGAGACCTTCTATATCCAGTGTGATCCAAAACACGATGACGCAACTCTATAGACAAATAAAACGTAATCTTATTACATTCAAATATTATACACTATAATATGTAAGAACGTAATAATACATTGTTGATAACTGTATTTTGATCTCTATGCAAGATATATGGTTTCCTATAGAAGTGTTATAATTATTGAATGCTCCATAAAAAATATTAAATTTATAATTAAACCATTTAAATTAATTAGCAGATTATATAGCTTTATAAGTGGTCGATTTTAGGTATAACAATACACAAATACAAACTTATAATTATTTAATTTTGCGTTCAGACAAAGTAAAAATACTTTAAATTTTAATAACTGTGGCCAAGTTATTCTTAAATAATTTTTCAAAGCTATATTTTAATAATATTTACTGAAAAGAAATTAAGCGAATTGGATACCGTCATTGTTTGTCGTTGTTTAATGCACCAGTGACAGCATTTTAGACGTGTTATTTGTTAAACGCACCAATTGATGTAAATGTAGTAATAAAAACTATTTTACCATTATCGATTGATTAAATAATTCTGAAATATTAAATAATTGTAAAATATATATTATGTATGGGATATAATCAAATTAATATAATTAATATTGTAATAAATGTAATAAAATAATAATAATAAAGCCGATTTAAGATTGATAATGAAAAAAAAATTGTTAATATTATAATAAYACATAAATTATAATATGTGCTATAAATACAAATACGTTTTGTTAATATTAAAATACACGCGCTTCACGAGTACGTATATATCAAATGTGTCACGCTCTCGCTGGCTTCATGATTAAAGGAATTCGATAAAATGATTTTCTGTATTTGTCTAACACATGGGCGTCATAAGATTTTTGCCGTGTTCTTTGCCAGATGAACCGATGGATATAATGAAGCGATAAGAATTCAAAAAGCAGATTTGAAAGAATACTTGAAATTAACTTTCCAACATTTCCGATTTTCCGAAAGCTAATTTCAAGTAAACTTAACAACAAATTCAAATTTGTTTTTGAACTCTTAACGCTTGACTATATCCGTCGGTACGTTTGGCAACGAACACAGCTAAAATCCTATGAAGCGCATATGTTAGAAAAGACAGACCATCGAAGGGTTAGGTATCGAATCCCCTTAATCGTGAAGCCAGCGAGACCGCGTGACACATTTTATATATGTAAATACTTAAAATACTAAATGGTGTGTTTATTTTAATATTAACTAAATATATTTATAGCACAATATATAATCTTTGTGTTATTATAATATATTAGGTACCTACATGTTATAATATTAACAATATTTTTTTTCATTATCAATCTTAAATTGGTTTTATTATTATTATTATTTTATTACAATATTAATTATATTAATATAATTATCTCAAATATGTTTTACAATTAATTCAAAATTGAGCATTATTTAATCAATCGGTAATGGTAAAATAGTCATGAAACAATAAAAATTGTATAAGTTATTTTGTAACAAATACTAATAAAAAATACGGTAATATAAAAACTTTTTGTATATTCAAAAATTGAAATACCTCTTTAAATTTTTTTGTATGTGAAAATTTTCGATCCAATCAGATACTACAATGCTCGAACCTTTTGGAAAAATGTTATCTAAAAAAAAAAATACAACTATGAAGTTTATAAAATAATAATAATATTTATAATTATTATTAAGTAATAACTAATATTATAATTATCATCTAAACATTTTTTGTGTTTTGCACGTCCCTAAAATACAGCCACAGCTACTCTTTTTCAATTCTGGTTTATGTATAMATTTAAGTGGGTACACTAATTATCTCGAAAAAACTTTTTAACTTTTTTTAAATTTTTTGGCTTATGTTTTTCTTAAACAGCATAATATTTAAATTTTTTTCAWCCTTATATCTATTGGAGAAACCACTATCAACTTTTGATTTTMAAATGGTAACATACAATAAAAAATACCATGAACTAATAAAATAATTTTTTTCATAAATTTACGTGTTAACATTTTTATTATTCATAGATTGGTTAGTAAGATATAGCTCCTCAAAGTATTGGTGATTTTTACTATTTTTCCAATAATTGTAAATACCAGGAGCTAGTGATARATTCTGAATCTAAGGTAACAAAATAAATAACAATTAATTGAAGATYACTATTGTACGTTGAACCCTATCATTTATTAACGTATCGGTCTTATCGACTAATTGGACAAATTAATTTTATTACCTTGGATTCGTGGTATTTTTATTGTATGTTACCTTTTTAAAATCAAAAGTTGATAGTGGTTTCACCAATAAATATAAGGGTAAAAAAAGTTTTAATATAATACGGTTTTAGAAACACATGAACCTAAGAGTTAAAAAAAAAAAATTCAAAAATAGTTAATACTTTTCGAGATAATTATTAGTGTAGGTACCTATTTAAATGGAACACTCTGTAGATGTAACTGTTACTGGATGTATAGATTAAAAACCGGGTAGTAAATAATATATAAGGACATCATAATTTTACCTACTTAATATTATATACTATAAGTTATAAGAACTGAAGATTATTKTGAATCCCAAATCCCGATCAATGTTTACAGCACATTTTAAATTAATTTACCTTACTATCCTGATAGTCATCAGCGTTAGGTAATATAAATTATGTCATTAATTACTCATACCTTGGTGTTAAAAAACTACTAAATAACCAATTTAGAATTTAGATAATATTATTCAGTTGTTAAAAATAGATTTATTATTATTTTATTTGTTGGTGTAAGTATTATTTATAGTTGTTGTAGCAAATATAAAAGTAATAATAAGTTAAACAAATATTTTACATATGAATTAGGTACAGTTTTTTATTTTTTTTTTTTATTTTAATTGCAACAGTTAAATTTATATTTGGGCATCTATTACATTATTACACAATAATTTAAATTTCATAACATGCTTGCTGTGTGGAAATTATATTTATTATTCGCACATTAGTTTGTAGTTGTACTAGCGAATACCTAAAAACTAGGGGCCATTATATTATGTTATATAGTAAAGAAAGCGAGATGCGTCGTATCTTTACTACCCACTTAAAAATTGATTTTGCGCAATTAAAGTTGTTTCTTTATACTACGATGTTTTGTAAGATTACAATGCCGTAACTCTACCGCCTGTAAAATTAGTTTAAATAGGAACATGAGAATAAATCATTAAAACTATTCAAAACAMAATGATTTTATAAGTTATAAATGTACTATGTCCATGTACTAAAATCAAATATTGACGTTCACTTAAGCTATAAGTAATTTATTTTGATGCAATACAAATATTTTAAATATATGTATCTAGCTACATGTGGCAGTTTGGTTACTTTAAAATGATTACCTAAACACGCACTATGGAGATTTTTATAATTTCTTATAAAAATGCCGTTCGGTCGTAAACCTTTAAGTTTTTGTGTAGTGTAATATACGTCATATTAAAATAMAATTGTGTACATATAACTATGAATTATACTAATCTGTGGTGTGCCGTTTTTATTTTATCTATAATTCAACTCAATAATTCTGTTTATAAACCAATAAATGTTAATAATTTATTAATCAAAACAATAATGATATTAATGAAATAATATCAAATAAAAATGATGCCTAAACCATGGATAAAGTTCTCTTAAGTATATGACAAACAATTTTGTTAAAAAAATTTGCTGGATGATTTTGGTTTACGCGAAATGTTWATTTTTATTTATAATTTCGAGTTTACGAATTAATATTGGCACTAAAGTTATGTGGTCATTTGAGGATTACCATTTTAATGCTTATTCAAATAAGTTAACATTTTCCTATATTGTATCACCCCTTAAATGGCGCACGATTGTATAGTAATAAGATTTTTTTTCGATCGATAACTGTTGCTTAATACGACCGTAGTAATAAAAAAATAATAGCTGTGGTAATGTAATACGATACCTACACCGATTTCAATGCAACAAAAACTGTCTCACAAGACGAAAGTCCTTAAATGGGTCTCCTACGGACAATTTCTGGGCACCATTCCMTCCAAAATAATAATAATAATATTACAACAAAATTATTGTTTTAATTATTTTATTTTATAATAATAAACGGGTTTGAAACCCTTTTGAAAATGTATACAAATTAGATAATTACGATAACATTCAGAACAGAATATAAAGTTTAATTACAAATAATGATAGATAAATAAGGTTAATTAGATTTAAGTCAGTAAAGCAGATTAATATTAAAAAACGAAAAAAGATTAACAATTAATAGTAAAATTAAAGATCTATAGAGGGATCTTCATTGGCTATTAACATTAAATGCCTAATAGGCTTATTTTTCATATAATTACTCGGACAAATAGGGAAATGAAAAGGAACACTAGCATGGTTTGTTATAGGTAGTCAAATGTTAAATTATTTGACTCATCCTTACCTCGGACTCCTGGACCTTCGGCAATATACAATCTGTACGATTTAGGTAGGTATTTAAATACTTAAACTAGGTACATTACAATATTCATGTTCGACACAATCGTCCACATTTGTAGACTATTGGACAACACCTCACGTTATTGTGAATATATATTTGATATTTTGTTAATGATATATTATGATGTATTTTAGACTACGGTTTACCACTTCAACACAGCACAACACGTGTCACGTTGCGCTCTGTGTCGGTACCGCGATGTATACGAGTCGCAGCCGTGCTCTGATTTACGATCGACGCCGTAGTCATCGTAGCCGCCCCTTCAACGGACGCTGTCGCTGTGGTACCGGCACAGCGACGGCGCGACGTTTACTCCTCCCTCTGCTGCGACCTGCCAACTATCGTCGACTGTCCGTTTTTTGTTTCTATATAATAATAATATTTTGACAGAATTACGTTAACAGGTAATGGTTCGTAGTGTTACAACTATACCGCGGAGTCGGCGGTATGGYAAYAGATATGCTCATGACTCATTATAAATTCCTCGTACATCATCAAATATTAATTACTAGATTACCGAATGAATATTGAATTGAAAAGATAAAAAATTTATGAGAAAAATTGTACAATGATGTAATGTACCTACAGAGCGCGTGAAATRTACGATTATTATTTTTTACAGCCGGTTCTTCATATACCTTATACACGTAGGTAGGAGGTACAGAATCACCTTCGATTAAACAGCGTGTTTTAATGTATATTATTATTCTAAAATTTCTAATTATTTGAATAAATCGTGGATTTATTTATTTATTAATAACTAYAAAACAGAATATTTTGGTTAATTTTGTATATTTTTTTCATTTAGCAGTAACTATGATTAATGTACTAAACATTACATGTGTTCTCTATATTATTATTTGAAGAAACGATTTGTGATAAATAAAAAAAAAAATTCAAAGGATATACCTACTGAAAGCCGTAAGAGTATATATTCATTGTATTTTCAATCCTTACTGCTGTCCCACTRGCATTTCTTTCAGATTCTGCAGAGCGAKTTGTAATTGATTTTACAACGATGAGTGTATGTGAGTGTGTGTACACTATTACTTGACGAAAAAATGCTTCGATTTTCAACTTCAGTAGTTTTTGCTGTGGGAAAGTGAATCTATTGTAAAATCGTTTTCAATMAAATCAATTTTGGAGATTGGTGTAATAATTTATCGTCTATATACATATATGTATATGAAATTTTTATTAAATGTTTATATTGACATTTCAAATATATTTTTAAAAATATTCCAACAGTTTTAAAGTTATTTAAAGAAAATTGAAATTTCCTATTTTTTTAGTTTTTTATTCTATAAATGCCAATAAAATCTTATTCGTTGGTTCAAAAAGATTAARAAGTTCATATAATAGAAAATTTAAATAAGGTTTCATGTAAGTAGTAAGTTAATTTTTTAACAAAAAATCTAAGAACCATACAAACACATTTTTTTTATATAGTTATTTTAACTTTCAAGTTCAAATATAGTTGAAATTAGATATTAAATAACCTAAAATAACAATTATTTTAGTTAATTTAAAAATATTAATTTAATTTAATTTTGTATTATTTATTTTATTTAATATTAATAACACGAATAATAATCGTAACAATATAAATAATAAATTTCATTTTATTTTTGTGCGTTAAATACACATMATATTTTCATAATTTCTAATAAAATAAAATTCATTAGATGTAAAATAATGCGTAGATTTTTGATAGTCAAAAAACAGGTAATTTTGTCAACTGGTACCTACATGAAAATGTTCTAACTGTGTAAGTGGTACGCGGATATAAAAAGGTTAATAAACGTTGCTTTATACATTTCTTTAGATTACTTATACTATTCCCCATGAAAATTTTATTATACATAATATTATAATAGATTGTCGCTCATAGTTATCTTAATTAATCTTGGAAAACATGGTAAAAACATATTTTTTCCTTGTATAAAGTATATATATGTTTTTATATTTTAGTTACTAAWATTCATAAAGGAGTACAAAAATGATAAATTTATATTTTACAATTAATTTATAAATACAATCAATAGTTAGATTGTCCATTATCAAAAATATAATTATAATATAGATATTATTAAAGATATAATTACTATAAAAGTATTTATAAATTTAAATTTAAATTACTCATTGGACAAAACAATTTTACCAAAATAAAAATACTATCATACCAACCATCAAATAAAAAATATCACTAAAGAAAAATAAGAATTGAAACTGACTACTCACCGATTTCTCCGATAGTAACTATGGGATTTATTGTAATACTTACTTATAATTATTAGTATTCAAATATATTCAAAATTTAAAATTATMAAAATTATCTTTATAAAACCCCTTAAAAAACAAATTAAGTCTTACCATTAAGACCAAGAGCAGGAGGTCATAAGTTACTTAGAACGTTGTATAATTTGTTTAGATATATATATACTGAATACATTTTCTGGATTTTTAAATTTCTAATGCACCTACTACTGAACCAAACAACAATGTTCATTATAAAAGGGGCGCTTCGTTTTTATTTTAAATCTAACTTGAATTAAGGAAATTGAATCACACGTATTTTTCGTGTATTTTAGATCAATAAAGTGGTGGTTAATTACTYAAACTTAGAAAGGTCTGATTTTAATTTTTAATGTTGKTAGAATTCTTCGACAAAATATCCAGGCTATTTAAAGAATCTTAAAATTAAGTGATTATTTATAAATTTCTGTAAATAATTGTATTATATATATTTTCATTTTGGTTACATAACGTTTTAAGTTTAAAAAAAAACGGTTCCTAATGACGTTAGTCTAGAAACTCATAAATTCTACCATTTTTTTTAAATTGCAATTGGATTTCAGAAAGTATGTTTAACTTACTACCATTTTTATTTTTCAATAGTTTTTATAGTAAACAAGAATAAACTTCATTTTTCACGATCTTTAGACATGTACGTGTATGTGCGAGATTAACATAGCGATATAKTAATATCAAATTAAGGTGTGTTCTTTTATATAACATAGTTGGCTTTTGGTGTCTGAATTTTATGTTAAAATTACTATATCGCTATTGTAATATATTATAGTGTATCTTACAAATTRATATTAGCTTTTGCAATCAATCATGCATATGATAATAATGTAAGTACTCGCATGGAATAGTATGAATACAATATATTTTGAATAAATAATCAACAAACGCGCATTGTACAATAATATCACGTGCAACATGGCTACATTAAATAAAGTAATATTATAACACTCATACAATTTTTTTAAATATTATTACAAGTATAACACTTTGAGTCTTTCGAAAAACAATACGACATAATAATGGTAAAAACAGTTCTAAAAAAAATATATATACATTTGCTGGCTAAGTACGCACAGCATACTCCTTAAGATTATTATGGCGGATCAGAGAAATACACATATTATATATTTATATCCATATATGTATTCACTCCAACTCCTCTGACCAGTGCGTTTACAGAAAAATAAAAAACCGTATCTATACGTTCCCATTGTACTCTAATAAATTATACAAACTATTAATAAACTACAAATTACCTACTATTATTTACTAATGCTGACTATAACACTGATGATAAATATTTCGAATCATATACACATTGCAATAAATAATATGTATAATATTCAATCGGCTGCACAAAAAAAAAAAAATATGGTTAAAGATCGATAAATGTATGGCTGTTTAATACTATTAATTATTATGATTTATCGTATAATAATTATCATGTAATTGCGACAGGCTGTGGACCATGGGCACTGTAGTGTTTCCGTCGCCTCCGATTCTGACTACTATGACTTTGACATTGACTATATGCCTCTTTCGACGACACCGTTGAGCGTCRTCATCGCCGGCTGGCCGTGGTCATGGTGCCGTTAGTCGGCCCCCGAGAAAACAGATTGGATGGTCTGAGGCTCTGGCCGATGGAGCCCATCAACTCGACTGCGAAATCGCGGATGTTGCCCGGCGAGTTCTGCGTTGAGTAAAACAACAAATAAATTACAAAAATTTCAATTACAACAAAATATATGTATATAATATATATGTTTTATAATAATACTTTAGTCTATAAACGTGTAAATTCAGAAGTACAATAGGTAATTAATTAATGACATTAAATTATTATACTGCGTAGTCGCTGTCATAAGATTCCGACGGATTAGTTATCAATAGTACGGTCGCGATGTCAAAGGCGTTTGATATAGACAAGTCTAATGACATTTTTAGAAAAATTTACTGTATACTGTTCAGAGTAACTTACATGCGATGCTATTATTGTGTTTTTATAAACTCATATATAAACTAGATATTGTGTGGAAAAATATGAAAGACTATAAATATATAGTAAATTAATCAAATTTTCGATAAAATTACATTACAGGATGGCTGTTTTTTGAATTTTTTTTCTGTTAATTAATGTATTTATACCTATATGTTGAAAACGATTGTGAAATCTGAATTTAACAGAAAATCTAAGGTTTTACTAATATAGCCATAGAAGAAAGTTGTTTTTACCTAGCTTAACTTAATAAGCGCATATTATTGACTCAGCAGGGTCACTCGCTCGCAGCGTTCAATTGACCATTTCCGTACATCCGAAACATACCTCAATTTGTCATGTAAAATCACCTAGGTCCATAAAACCTTAAAAGTTACTAACTTCAAATAGATTTCAAGCCAACCATTAGCATTTTAAATTTCAGATTCYATCGTCTTCTTCAGCATACAATATTTCAGAAAATATTTTAAAAAAAGAGTCACTCAGTTATGTTGTTTTATTTCAGATATTTTGATTACATTATTGAAAGGTGACGTCGGTGACGACTGTAAAGTGGTGAATACACATTCACAAAGGTTTAGTTTGTACCTAATCAGTTACCCAGTTATAAACATAATACGAGCGATCCTGGTGAAGTTATGTATAACTATATAAGTTATAGCATGATAATAAACTGCAAGACGGAKATTTTCAATACTGTAGACCTGAAATTCGATTATTGCGACATCTTATTATTTTCAACGTATTAAGATTAGAGACCCTGACCYGCACGACAAGAGATTAATATTGGTATATCGTATCGAAAACATATCGTGCAAAAAATCATCGGCTTACAACAGCGGTTCTCAACCTTTTTATAGTCACGTACYACCTACACAATTTGAAAATTTTTGCGTACCACCTGACCATATTTTTGCTTATTAATAATGTATACGTTTATGCTATATGTATAGAATTTTGTTAGTAAATTAATTTTTTATAAACGTAGATTTCCTTAGCGTACCACAGGTTGAGAACCGCTGGCTTACAACTTMACAACAATATTATATTATAAGTGTACATCGATCTGTATTAAAGGGACACCGACCTTTACGGCGGACCGGAGCTCGGAGTCGAACAATCTGCGCAGACCACGGTAGTTACGACCGAACAGTTTGCCCAGCGCTTCGCCAGCCATCTTCTGGTCCGTGGCTGCCGTGGTGGACGCCACTCCACCGCCGACCTCGTTGTCCGCGGTATTGACGGCGGCCATCATCATCTGGTCAGTGGCGGCGGTAGTGGCCGTAGGATCTTTGGCCGCCTCACTGATTGTGTCGCGTACGATATTTGAGACGTTCCGGAATGCTTGACGGGCGTCCGAAATAGTCTGAAACACAGAGAAAGCAGAATAGAAATAAAGGTTGTGATTTTTACTGTATATAGGTATAGAAATATAACTACAATAACTATTACGGATCCAAATAATTATTTAAAATTAATTTTTTTTTTTTTTTTATTTTAGATTAATTTAATATACCTACTATTAAACAAAAAGTA